AAACCAACATAAAATGTCTTAAACCTGAAACCAGTCAATTATTTCACAAGTGTTCACCCGAACGCTTCCCATCTGGCATCTTTACACTTGTGAAAGGTAAGGATGAAATCCAGACGCTGCAAACAAAGTGTGTAACTCCTTGCTTTGGAACAGGGACGGAGACTGCGCACTCTCCTCTTCCTGCATTTCCCAGCATGGAAATACTCATTAATGTTATATGTGAGACATTTATAGTTTTCAATCAGCTTCCAATAGTCCTGGCAAAGACTTGCCAGGTAACCTGAAACACACTACAATAAGCAAAGCAAGATTTCTCACCTCACTGTGTTCGCAAAGGCTTTCCTCTAATTTAATTCTCAGTATCTCACAAGGTGATAACCCAAACTGAGACTTTCTATTTTAAATTTCCTCCCATCTAACATTCCTTTCCACAGTTATACAGACTTAATTTCTCAACTAAACTGCACTCAGCTGTGCCTCCTTCTAGTCCCTGCACTGTTGACTTCGAGAGATTTTTTTGCAAAAAAAAGAATGTGGATTTAATTTTTGAAATTTTCCAACGTGAAAAAAGGACGCTTTAAAAGCATCTGCTGTAGGAATGATACATACTGCACATAAAATCATATTGCACACACAGCAGCAACATTTTTATGATAAAATAGCAAATTACATTGTAAAATTAATACAAAATGGCTGAATTTTTATGTCTTTCCATATAACTGAAGACAAATTTCTTAATAAATCACATATGGCTATAATTCCAGGAGGGAAAATATTTTGTTTTTCTTGAATGGGTGTCTCAACATTTTCCTGCACACTTCTGCAAACAGCGCTTGCCTCTCTGTAGCATGGCTGCTTGCGCTGATTTGCCCTTTTTTCTACATCCATCTCTTTCAAGTTCAAAAAATGGTAAAAAAATATATTCAGTGATTGATTGCCTTAACGGAGCTAATAATCACTTTTTTAAAAAAACCCCTAACACCTCTACTTTAGACATAAAATCAAACCTGTTTTATCTACAGTAGTTATCTGCTAAGATAAGTCCAACTAAATTGAGCCTAAGAAAGGCTTAGGCAATGCCCAAACCCTGTCTTTGCAGAAGCTTTTACAGGAAATTGGGGCCTGTTGTAGGTTGCAGGTTTTGACTTGGTGCAGAGCTGCTGACAGCACCGAGATGTCTTGCTAGCTAAAAAGTCATGAATTGCCACAGGATAATTTGAGTTTTTAGAATAAGCTGAAGCCTAATGGTTTAGCCGCTATTATTCACCTTAACATTACCCTTTATGTATTAGTAAACAAAATGGAATCAAGGGCATAAACTTTGGATTGATTTTTCTCTTACTGGGTAAAACAGCTTTGCTGGTTGTTTGTTTTTTAATGAAAAATTCTGACTGAAATGAGATTTTCAAACCCAGTTGAAATTCTGTGTCTCATTTTCCAGCATACCTGTTGCATAGTGATAGGACATACCCTACTAAACACCTAAAGAAAAGTTATCTCAGGTCTGCATTTACTCAAAAAATAGGGACAGAGAAATCAATTTCAATGTCAAAGTCAGTAGCATTCTTAAAATATTGTCAAAATATATTTTTAACAATGTATAAATGAATGAAAATATTTTCTCTTTTTTTTTTTTTTTTTTTTTTTTTTCCCTCCATGAATAAGTCACTACTCTCAGCCCTAAATGCCTCTGACTTGGCCAGCAGACATTTATTGACAGTGTGTTGAATCTCCTAGTCTGGAGGCTTGAGGCCTCCTCCAGAGTGACATTTCAAGTAATAGGGGAAAAGGTCTGCTGGTCATCATGTGAATAGGGAAAATAGTTGATTTTTCTCTTTCAACACAGATTTTTTTAAAAAACTGATTTGCATACAATTTGGGGAGGTGGCTTTTGGCTTTTGGCTATGTTGTCCTTTAGCACATTGAAGAATAAAACCAACCTCTAATTTGTCAAAATTTCCAACCTTTAGCAAAGTTTTAAGTGCAGCTGGAAAAGCAAGATATTTTTGTGTGGCATCAGGAATCTTGTATGTGATGATGAGTGACATAGATAGTGAAAAAGCACGGCACTGCCAGTTGGGAAGCATCTGCTCTAGTTTCCATTCTGCTGTTGGCTGCATTGGATTATTTTTTTCTCTCTCTCTTCCTTACAGTTTCCCAGATTTAAGGATTTTTTTTTGTAATTACCGTAGAATTAAATGAAATGTATTTTCATCCAAACAAAGGTTGAGAAGTGTTGGCAGAGCTCGTGCCTGCACAGAGAGCATGGTACGACCACAGAACAGGCTTTTGCCAAACTTTGCATCATCACCAACTGGACTTCTTGCGTGACCATGTCGCTTGCTGGGGCCAGAGGACACCTCAGCTGTGCAGGATCCTGCCGCTTGGTCGCATCCCCCAGTGCCTGGGGACACAGCCCAGCTCCCCCATTGCACAGCAGCAGCTGGGGGTCCCTGCCAGAGGGGAAAACAGCTGTATGCTGGGTGTCGATGGGAAGGGATTTTGTAACCTTTTAATTATTTAATGGAAAAATTCAGGCTTGCTAAAAAGATAAATCCCCATGCTTCCTTCCACTGGAACAAACCCAATTTTGTCAGGCTCTGTGGCAGCATCAGGGATCAGGCTCTTCTCTTACAAGCAATGAAGGAAATCACCCGAAAGTTGTGCACCCAAAACCTGTGCAGAGAGGCTGTATCTTACCCTGTTACCCCAAAAATGGAAGTTGCTGGGTTTTGTGTGCACGTGATTTTAATTTTCTAAAGCTCATCTGTGGCTGAGCTCTGGAGTATGTCCAAGCTCGGTCCCCTGGCATGTCCTGCTCCTCTCCCCCCACGCAGCCAAAGGATTTCTCCTGGCTCTTGTTTCTGCATGATGCCACACTTCATCTTTGTGACCGTGGCTGTTACTGAAGCTGATGGACTCTCTCAGGGCAGCGTAGTGGCTTGCTCAGCCCCACGGACTGCCAGAGCAGGACTGCATCCCTCTGAAGCACGTGTAATCCATGCCCTGCCACGCTGGTGAGGGAGGCAGAGCCGTCAGCACAGTGGCCGGAGCTGGGCTAATCCTTCGCTTAGATCAAGTCCTTCTCGAGGCCTTTTTAATTATCTCCCTCTCCGACTGAGATTGTAGAGGAAACAAGTCACTGATATTTTGAAATGTGAAGGTTGTTGTCTTAGTACTGCACAGCCAGGCTGTGGTTTCAGGAAGCTGTGCTGCAGTTCTGCCTATTTGTTAGGAAGTGCAGCATGGTGGAGGGTTTGAGGCTTGGGCTCTGAAGAGAGCCAGTGCCCCATCATGTGCTACGACACCTACTCAGCAGATTTCCTCTTTTCTGTTTGTCTCTGCTCTCATTGTAAATGTTTGCCTTGTGGGGAGTGGGGCTGTGCGGAGCCGCGGACGAACGACACGCCGAGACGGGTTCAATGTGGGTGATAGAGCATCATATATCGTGTGTGTTTATTGGTCCAGGGTACATATATTTATACAGACAATGATAATTATTATGCCTACTAGTCACTAGCTGATTGGCTTAAGCTCTAAAGGTCGTATTCACACGGTCCACCTACTTGCAGTTAGCTTACAGCACAAGCTTCTCATAACACTAAGTTTCTCATGTTACTATTTCTAATTCCTCTTGACTTGTTTTCGATACACAACAGTACCATAACACAATGTTTCTCAGACCACCGTTATCATAACACTGGGTTTCTCAGACCACTATTCCTAATTCCTCTCAACCTGTTTTCGACACACCACGGTACACAGGGCCGAAGCGTCCTTGACATTCCTCATGTATCAGCAGCTGCGAGCAGCTGCAGGCAAACCCTAGTGAGGCTCAGCATCAGCGAGGCAGCATCAGCCCCTAGAACAGGCTCTGATCGTACAACTGCTCGGTGGGCTCAGGACCCTTGTCTCTGAGCCATTCTCCAACAGGGCTGGCAGATTAAATGGTCTGTTTGCCACTGGCAGTGCTGCACCCAGAATATGGCATCCAGTTTTGGGGCCCTCCCTAGTTCAAGAGGGATGTTAAGGTGCTGGAGAGGTTACAGTTAATGGGATCCCAAGATGTTCACCGACCTAAAGCATATTACCTACAAGATGTTGAGGGATTTGGCCTTATTTAGTCTGGTGATGGCACGGCTAATTAGGAATCTAATAGCAGTCTACAACTACTTGAAGGAGACTTGGAAAGTGAATTCAAACTCTTCTTCCAGCAGTGATAGATGATGGATACAGGGTAAAGGTTGGGAGCCTCAAAGTGGCCACTAGAAAAAAAAATCTCTGTTGGGTGGGTAGTATGGCACTGGAACAGGTCAACCAGAGAGGCTCTGAGCCCACCATCCTGAGGTATTGCAGCCTTGCCTAGTCAAAACCATGGCCAACCTAGTCTTGGTGACCTTCAGCAGTAGGGCAGCCCAGCTGACCTCAGGGTCCCTCCCAACAACACAGATACGATGGTGAGTTATTGCCCAAATGTATGTTTTTCCTGAGTGTAATTGATGATGTTGATTTCCTCACCAAGTTTGTCTTCAACGCCCAGTTGGAAGTTTCTGCTTTGGGGTTAGACGTGGCCTCAGTGAAAACCATGGATGAGACCACAGAGGTTTGGGGACTGCTGGTAATGTTCAACTCAAAGCCATTGTTAGCAAATTCACATGAAGGTGGGCAAGCACATGGCCTAAAGCTCATCAGATACCTGGAGTCATCTGACTGACCCTAAAACACCCTTGCTTGATGTGGAACAATGTTTCTGGGCATGCAACAGGTCTTTAATTGACAGCCCTCATCCTTGCTGGCTGGGAACTTTAAAAGGGAGGGAGCAAGAGGGATGTTGTTAGATGACTTTTGCTTTCCAGCTCAACAACAGTAATTCTAAGTCTTCTGCTTGTCCTGCCACAATAACCCTTGTGAGAAATCAAAGCTATGTAGACAAAAAATCCCACCCTGAAAAATCCACCCTGAGAGCACCAGCCAGAAATAAAGCACACAGAGAGGAACTTTCTTTCTTCAATTTAATTGAAGTTACTTAGAAAAATAATCAGGCTTGAATGGCTTTTTTAAGGAAAGATTCATGAGCAGTTCACACTTGTGTTGGCAATGTATAATTTAGCTTTTTTCTTTATCAACAGTATATTTAGGTATGAGGAGATACTCTTCTACAACAAGCCTTCTACTACATACAAATAGGTTAAAAAAAAAATCCAACCCCACATCGATGTTAAATTATTCGTACACATTGTACTGTGCATGCATGTAAGAAAATAACACTCTCTGTAACAAGAGTAATAGTAAGGACAGTCCCTTTTTGTACCTGAAAAGTGCAGCAGACTACAGTGAAACCTTAAAACATCTGGGGTCAACTTACTTCTAAAAGCACTTCTGCTTGGGGATTATTTATTTCCCTTGTTTTACACAGCGCATGGTTCAGGCAGTTTTCACGTTTCTGAGACAGTGGACATGGTTTGTGAAGAGGCTGAAGCATGGACCAAGGCAGGTTTGGGGGGGGCACTTCCCGCTGCCCAGGAGTCCCCCCCACGTTCAGGGGGGACTGGGCTCTGGGTTAAGGTGCTTGGGGCCACCTGGGAGGAAGGAACCCCGGCTGTGGGCATCGCGCCGGGTACGGAGCTGCAGGCGCTGCTGGGCTCAGCGCTGGCCCTGCCGAATGACGGGGAGGCACCGGCTGCTCAGAGGTGGGGAGCACTGCTCCCCGGGCCCTGTGGCTTTGAGGGGGGCTGGGGACAGAGGTGGGGAGCAGGACCTTCCCTGCTGGGTCCCCTCCGCGCTCACCACTGCTCGCCCATAACCAGCGCACAGCCTTCTGCAGCAGCAGCTCCCCGCACGTCTGTATCTTGCATTTTGCTGTGGCTGCAGTTCTGCCTCTTTGCTGCCTGGGACCAGTTGTGGCCACATCAGAACGAAGCCAGGGAGGGAGGCAGAGCTCGGGATCAGACCAGCCCCCCCCCCTCTTCTCCTCCAGCTGGGAAACCCAGTGAAGAGGTGGGGACAAAACCAGCCCTGTTCCCCAGCTGCACCCGCACTGCAGGCGGGGGCTGCCAGCTCACCAAGATAAGGAGGAACGACTCTGAACATCCTCCTGTATGGGTGCAGTGGAAAGAGATATTTTTTTTGGCTCAGTCAGAACAATACACCCAGTAGACCAAAAGAAAAAAAAAAAAAAAAAAAGGGCTTTTCCTTAACATTTGTGGCCCTCCTCCAAACTGGTGAGGGCTTTGTGCTCCGTGGGCAGGACACGATCGCATCCAGCAAGTCAGCTGTTCATTTTAAACACACATCTACAGCCCATTCACAGCACCCCAAAATAGACTTAACACACTAAATGGACAGTTTGTAGTAGTTTGGGGACAAGGTTTTATAAAAAGCAAGTAGCTTCTTTTAAGTACTCACTTAAGTCCACATAAAAGCCATGTGGGTGCTGAGCATCCACCCTTAGGGCGGGGAGGCAGAATCTGGGTAATCAAACCCAAAGCTGCTGCTAAAAATCCCAGCTCGAGTAGGGCTCACCCCTCAGAGCTCCTGAACTTGTTTTTCACCTAAAGCTTTTCTATCATAGCTGTCAAGTAGGGGTTTTGCGTTTCCAAAGACTGAAACTGAAGAGAATACTTCAGAACAGATGAAAGCATGGTCATGACAGAGAAAAGTACAAAAAGAAAGGGGGAAAGCACACCCTGGTTTTAAAATATTTACTTTCCAAAGCAACTTTTTTTTTTTTTTTTAATTAAAAAAGTTCACATCACATTCTGTTGGAGGGATTAACAGCTAACTGAAGAGAAAACTGGACTAAAATATGAGCACTGTTGGATGCAAGACCAAACAAGCACACAAATAGCTCGTGGGAAATACTGGGAAGGGAGGGAAGAGGGGGAATCTACCCTCAGACAGATTTTTTTTTTTTTTTAACAAACTTAGAACCATTGAACAATGAACAAAAGAAACCCAGGCCACACTGTGATAGGCACTTGAAACAGCTCCGCAAACTCTAAATGACACAAAACTGCTTTCAAGTGAAACATCAGCCTGTGACCAGGACCCGCTCAGGAGCTCGGTGCTGCCAGGTGCAGCCAGCCAGCTCTTCCCGAGCCACCGGGTCAGCGCTGGGGGTTATAAACAGGACCTGGGTTATGAAAACTGTGGCTGTTCCAGAAGATTGGGAGATTTATTTGTAGGGTATGATAAAAAAATAATGACCTGAATCCTGGCTAAGACCAAATCTAATTGTGAAAAGGACTTCAGCTGCTGTTTGTTACGTTAATTTGTTCTTAGCTGAGATTTATTCAGTGACTTATTTTAATAAAATAAGATGGAACCTATTTTTCTTCTTTAACCACATGTGTCCTGGAGACTAATGTAATTCAACAGATATTATCAGCTACTGTACAATATGACATTTTCAAGATTTAGCTCTGATACTGCTAAACCAGCTCTGCCTTTAGCTGAATTTATTTAAATCTTCACTAATTTCTAGAAGGGTTTGGTCCGATCGTAAGATTGACACGGAGGCAAGTTAAAACTCCACTGTAACCACCAATCAACTTCAGAACAGATTTTATGTTCCCACGAGTGCCTCTATTTAAGCCTCTACCTCCTTCTGCCCCTCAGCCGGCTGCCGGCGCTGCCGCCCCAGGACGGGGCAGCTTGGGGTGGCTACAGACTGCTCCCCAGGCCCTCTTGCTCGGCTCTACACCTCACCTACATCAAACCAAAGCAAACATTCAGAGAAGCCTGTACTTCTGCTCACTCGCTTCCTAATAGATCCACACTGAAATCCCACTTTTCATTATTTATTCGCTGTGAATAGATTGCTGCTTGCTTGCCCAAAACAACGGCTCAGTGTGCTACGCCTGGTACAATCTGCCATCCCAACAAGCTGCTATACCCAAAACAATCATTGCCGAGACGTTCACCTTAACTAAAAAGGCCATGATCTCACACTAGAGCTTAGAATAAATACTAACCCAGTGGGAATTAGAAACATCCCTGTCAATGGTATTTAGGCATCGACTAAAAGAAGTCTCCCCACTCCCCCTGGGAAAAAGCCATGAAACCAGCGTGTAGGAAGATGAGACCTTTTTTATTGCCTTGCATGCTCAGAGATCAACACGAAGACGACTTTCTGACTTTTCAAATGACATGCTCACATCCTTTATAGCAATGTATTGTGACCAGTGTTTTTTGAACAAATTTGGGTTGTCCATCTTAAGATCAGTTAGGGAGGGATGACTTGCAAAGGATGGAGCTCCCCCCCACCCCCATCCTGGATGTGAACTAAGTGAATGCCAATCGCTTTTGGGCATTCTAAAATCTCTACAGCCACTTTCAAAGTGCTGATTTTTTCTGATGGACCATCCACAAATCTGCATTCATGTGGGCTGGCAGGCTTCAAATTAAGAGACAATGGGACTGGTCGTATTCTTGATAAAAATGTTAAGTCCAAATTTACAAAAAGTTCATGGTTTCTCTTCCCAAGGAATACATTCACATTTCTTTTGGTCATGGGTTTTAGATGTCATGAATCTATCAAAATCTGTTTTACTTTTCCCTTTCAGGGCTAGAAAGACAGAATTTTTTTTTTTTTTTTTTTTTTTTTAGTATGCTTATGTGCAATATCACTTTTTGAAGAAATAATTTCCACCACTCTTTTCAAGCGTGTGGTATCAAGAACCCTTCCCCTATTAACCTGCATCAACAGCTGATGAAGAATCTCATTATCTGGAGACAAACTCAACTGAGGAAAGCACAAAACCAGGCTCCTTTAGTCCAAATGTCATCTCTGCTGCTTAAGTGACACCTACCAAGAGACCATGTTTTAAATAAGTATAAATAACATTAATTAGAATTTGAGGAATGCAAGATCAATGAAATTCACCAGAACACAATTAAAATTTTTTTTAACAGTGTAGCAGTATTATTCATTTCTACAGCTAGATTGTCACAATCCTGTTACCCTGCAAAGAGAGCTGTCCTTTCTTACAGTTGATTTAAATAACTTTGACTGTGCTGCTCGCAGCATCATTCAAAAAAAGAAAATATTAATTTACAAAATAACCCATTCTCCATATTTAATATGACAAATAAAAATCTTAAATAAAACAGGCTTTCTCTCCCCTCTCTCCCCCCGACCTGTCCCTCATTCCAATTTCAGGTAGCTTGGCACTGAGTAATTGAACATTAAAAAATCAAGTTTGTAGACTTCATACAGCTGTGTTTGGTGCTCGGAGCTGATGTTCTGGAAGAACTCTGTGGTCATTTCATCAGTAGTTCTCGTAGACTTTGCATAGGTGGGGAACTTCAGGTAGTTGCCTACTCCCGCCAGCTGGAGAATGTAATTTGAATCGTCTTCAAGTGTTTCGTATTTGCCTATGAGGTCGTAGTGGATGTGGCAAGGGTGGCAGAGGGAGTACACAGTCTGCCAGTGCTCGTTGAAGGGCTCTTCTCTTTGGGTGTGCGGGTCGATGAGATACGCCACAAACTCTTCAAACTTCACGTCATCGCCTTTGCGCAGAGCTTCCTGGGTTGCGTTTTTCCTCTGGCGCCTCACGATTTTGGTGCCGTATCGCTTGTGGAAGGAGGTGTTGTACTTCTGGGTGAACTTGTTCCTATAGGCTGACACCAGTCTCTCAAAAGGCTCGCGAACAAAGAGGAACTTCATGTAGTTTTTCAAGCGGTGGTTGATCTCTGGGATGCTGTACTGGTTGAGGGTCTTCAGGTTCGAAGACACGTGGGCTTCATTGGCTGGGATTTCCATTGGGTCGCTGTACTTGCCTCTTCCTGTCAAAACCATCATGACTCTCTTCCAGTTTGTGCAGGCCACTTTGGGAACATAGCAATAGATCATTTCATGATCTTCATCCACAACCAGGTGTTTGAGATCGTTGGGTGTCAGCACACGGCGCTTCCTGCTAGAGACGCTGTTTGCTCGGCACGTGTCTGTCACTTGGTCTCGTCTAATCTGATGAAGAATCGCTGTGTTGGACAACTGCAAAGAAAGCACAGGCACCAGTAAGTCAAGTGGCTGGGAAACTCTTACTGCCTTTTTGCTTATTAAACAAACACAGAGAAAAGTAGATTACTGGCTGTACAGAATTGTTCTCTATGTGGCTGAGTAAAATTGTTCCTGTGCTAGAAGATAAACTCTTTTTGTCTCCAAACTTCTTGATATGTGCTGCTTAAATGCTGTTCACAAAGCGTCCAGGGCTTTGCTTTGAAGCCAACACAAAGCGGGACAAGTGCTCACACAGCCTGGTGGCAATCCTGAGATGCAGTCACTGCTTTTCTTAGTCCTGGAACACAGATCTCCGCTCCACTCTACAGTCCACCCCGTGGCCACAGAAGTGCTGGACTCTGCCTGACCTTTTGCTGATGAGATGGGGTAGGAAAACACCAGAGTTGGAGCACTTGTCAACATGAAAACAGCATCTGCTCTTATTGCTGATGGCTTTTATGCAAGAGAATTTAATAATTGTGACTTGTTTCTTGGCTACGACCTTGGCAGAAGAAATTAATTCCGTAGAGGTTCCTGGTACTCCCCAAGGGGAACATTCACTCAGATGTGATTTCTTGAGGAGCAGGGAGAATATTAACATGAGAATTTGCCTCTCTGCTACAGCCATATTGACAGAGAAGGAAAGAGTGTGTGGCCTTCTAACATACACCGCACCATGTTCACCCGTAGACCTTTATTGTTCTGTCAACAGCGCCCTAACTTTCTACTGTAACTGCTACCAGATGCTTTGGAGTGGTTGTAATCTCTCTTAGGGGGGACCCACACAGCAGCTGCGCGGAGATGGCCACTGTCTCACCACCAGCCACCTCCTGCCCAGGTTGTGTTCAGCGACAACAGCGAAAGCTTCTGCTAAGGCAGGTAGTGAGCTCCTCTGGGAAATGGGGAATACCAGCCCAAGCAAAGGACCATGGGGACGCCGGGTTCCTGTGTTTGGTTATTCAGAGCCACCTGAGGTGTCCCTGCACGGCACGGTGTTGTGCTGTGCAGCCCTACCCTCCCTGCTGCAAATGCCTTTTGACATATTCTGAATAAATTGCATCAAAGCAACAGGAGGAAGGTTTTGGTAATGTTATTTACATTTACTTAGTACCACTTACCTGTGGATTTCAAACAGCCTTATGCTCAACGATTAGATTAGCCTCAAACCCAAGTATTAAGGCAAGTATTGACCTTCCTGTTTGATAGGCAAGGAGGTCTGAGATTCCTCCTTGTATGCCAAGTCTTTCAAAAGTGTTTGTCTGACACCTTCTAGTTAGGTTAACGTGAATCACGGGATACTGTAATGAAGCAGTTGAGGCAATGTAGTCTATACATCTGCTAAGGGGGTGCCTTTGGTTATAGGGGTCTTCCCCCTTGCCAGTATAATACCCTTGGCAAATGGTTTTGCACCAGCTTGGGGGTTCCTACTGAAGCTTCAGTTTCTTGCAGTCATGGGTCCAATCTCTGCTTTCAATACAGGTAGCTAGCCATGATCCATATTTAAAAAATCCCCAAAGAACAGGAACCAAATGCGCTTTAGATGCGAAACCCAAACCAAACCCCAAGCCAGCTGTAGGACTTCTGAGCTCAGGAGGGAAAGGAAACAGAAATTATATTGTTACAGAGAAGCCCTAAAAGCCCAGATTTCACCCGCCCAAGGGGCAGCAAAAGCTTTTGCAATACATGAGCAGCAGAGACTCTCCCTCTGAGCTGTGGTGAGTTGCAGAGGAATGTTCTCGTGGAATGGGCAACACCAGGGGGCTGGTGCACCGCAAACTTGGGCAGGAGGATTTTTTCTTCAGGACAGCATTTATGTGCCAAGACTGGGACCTCTGTATTTTGTACATTGCCACCCACCACTTCTCCTCTGAATTCCTTGATACTTCCCTCATCTCATCTCTTTAGCCCCCTTGTTCAGTAAAATGTTGGCTAATGGTTAAAACATGCAATAGTCCAGTGCAGCTCCTTTAGACAGCTTGGCTTGCCTTTTGTGCATGTGTGGTTTACTCCTGAATACCTCCCAGGTACGCTTCAAGGGCAGTTTTGTGTTATAGTTGAAGAGATGAGAAGCCAGATGTGAAATGTGCTTCATGTTTCCTAGGAAAACTAACTGGCAAGGAGTTTCCAAAAGAAGATGTTAGAAAGCAGTTGTCAAGGACCACACAGATTTTTGATGAAAATTACTTTTTCTGTTAAAAAAAAAGTAAAATCCATATTTCAATTTATGCTGTCCTCAGAGAGCAGAACTAATGGTCACCTCTATACTGGTTAGAGTTGCCAGTGAGTAATTTCCAAAGAACTAAACAAAACCCTTTGCAAATATACAGACATACAAATTGTCCGCTGCAGATAGATAATATGCTGAAATCTCTCCTCCTGCAGATTTTCATTAATATCATGTAGCACAGTACTGCTGTTTGCCTCTGGTTTTAGATTTAAAAAAAAAAATTAAAAAAATGCCTGAATTTGCTGCTACATTACAATATGTTAATGCACTGTATTTGCTCTTCTGATTCTGTTTTGGGGATAAATACAGAATTAAGTGGAAGAGGTTCTATGGCCCGTATTAGATAGAAGGTCAGATTTGATAATCTAATGGTTGCTTGAGACCCTAATCTGCAGATGAATCTCTGTAGAGCAGTGCTTTGCTCCTGATTTCATTCCTACATCAATAGGCTAAGCACTTCGTCCCCATACATTAACATTAATGAGATTTTCAGGCATTTGGAGTAAGGGGAAAAATGTAACCTTACTATTTGCAATTGCAAATGAGATTGCACTACATTACATTCACTTAAAAGATGATACTTGTGCATTTTGAAGTAGCACTTGTTTCCCACTTTTTTACGTGGAAGAAATATGAAGAAATGGCATACAAGTTTGATCAGCTACATTTACTAAGTATGCACCAACACCCTAGGGTCAGCTCTGCACATGCTCTGGCCTGTCTGGTGGCACACATGACACATATTCAATGTCAATGTAACACTAGACAGGTATTGCCCTATTCTCATAAATTACAGTACCATTAGGGATGGCTGATGGATGAAGGACCATGTAGGAAATACAGTTCTGAAAGAGCTCTACTTCCTTTTTTTTTTTTTTTTTTTGCCTACTGACTTCAGCTTATTTAAAAAGAAAGCCAATTTATTGATTGCCCTAGAATGATGCCAACTGTATCAAAACCTATTTTCTTCTGCAGCTAACACACATGATGCACCCTGGAAGGGACAACCTACCTGCTTCCCCCAGAGAAGCAGAGTCCTGCTGGCTCTCCTTGGGCCTTAACGGTAACAGCCTTCCCGCTGGAGGAGTGGGCAACATGAAAGCCACACTCACACTGCACTGGTGAAAAGTTGGGTATGGCACTGGAGCTCCTGCAGAACCACCAAACTCTTCCTTGTAAACTGCAAACCACAGGGGACACGCTCCATGGTCCCCAGAGCCCATAGCACCGTGCGAGGTAATCATAACAGCACTTTTCAATTTGGTATTTTGGAATTATGTATTAACACTGAGTTATCTGATGCTAATATGGTTCCTTCTTATTTTAAGTTACAGACAAGGCTTTTAAGCCACATAACAATTCCACTCCTGAAGTTGGTGAGGGGAACTGTGAAAAGAGTAAGCTCACACGAGTCTGAAACTACATTCATCTAAACTAGAGGTCCACCTGGCCAGTGAAAATGTGCTCACAACTAGTGAGGAAAATACACCCTTACAGCTTTAAGTAGCCAGAGAGATAAGATCCAAGGGACAGGTATCTTTAAACCCATGGACAGTGAAGGGCAAGTCAAACAGTCAAGGCCACGGACAGTCTTCCCCCAAAGCTGTTACAGATGTGGCTACAGCAGCTGTAACAGCTGCCGCTGCCTGGACACCGAGTGCTGCACCAATGGCCGCTACCAGGGGCCCCCGCTGATCCCTCAGTTCAAGAAACGACAATTAGGAATGGCCTAAATCTACTCCACTCTGGGAGGGGCATTTTAAAGCGTGTGTGCAGGTTACCCTGAGAGCAGCGTGAGGATGGTGACAAAGCCAGCGCTCAGGTCTGTCCTCTGACAGTTCAACTTGGACTTCAGCTGGGCATTAAAGGTTTTGGGAAGACATCTGATAAAAGCATCCAGTCTTTCCCGAAAGGACTGACAACACCACAGATGCACTTGACAACGGGGTTTTTTCCTGCAGAAGTTGTAAAAGGGGACAGAGAAGAAGGGCATGTCAAGATCAAAGTTTTTCTTTCTTTTCTGATGCGGCAGCCGAGTTGAACGGGGAGGCAGCACGAGCAGCGGGAGACTTCCAAGCTCAGCAGCATTTAAAAGCAGAAAAAAAAAAGTAGTCTGGGGACACTCTGATCCCAGAAGCTTCTCGTCTCCATCAGTCCCAAACTAACAACAAGGGAGGAAAGCAAAGTCCAGCACACTCTGCTCATGTGGATGTTTCCTGTGAAGGCGGGGAGGGCTCTGTGTGTAGTACACTAGAGAATATACTGACCAGAAATATATATAATATCTATGCTGACCAACTGACAATCATCAACCCATGGCATGCAAAGGTTATTCAAGGCAAATCACAGTAATGAGATGGGAGGTATTTTCTTCTGATTACTTAGGCACAGCAAGATAAAATAATCTTTGAGGGCTTTCTGAGGCTTGATGGCCAAGCAGCAAGTTCAGATTTAAACACAGGACGTTTTAATTTTTTTTTCTTTTTTCCCGAATACAGCAGTGTACTGCAAACTAGGAGCAGAGATGAATCCAATTCACAGGTATCTGCACTGAAAGCACTTTTTAAATAGAACTATGGAAATACCTAAGTGACACTCAAAAAAAAAAATTAATTAGATTTTGTCTTGCTATAAAAAATTAGTGTGCAAAGAAGTATCCCCCATGCTTATAAGGCAGGGTTTTGAACTATGCAAGTTGCCACAGCATTCCCCTTAGCTGTGTTCCAAGCAGCTATCAGTCAAAATCAGTTGCATCTCTGCTGAACAC